ATTTTTGGGTGAAAAAAAAAATATATATATATATATATATATAAAGTTGTAAATATGTATGTAAAGTTGTAAATAAAAAAGATTATTGTGGCATGTTTACAAGAAATTCTATTTCCTTTTCCTTTTTTTTCTTTATACTATTGCTTAATAATTCATGTTACTTGCCATAATTACTTGGTATTTACTGTAAATGTGATTTTTTTTTCCTGTGCAGTAGGTTTGATATTTTGTTATATTAAGCAAAGACATTCATGAACTTGTAAGGGTCTGAATACTTTTTATGATTAAGAGATACAAAGTAAAAAAAAATCTAATAAATGAAAAAAGTGGAAACAGTTATTATACAAGCTAACTCAGCAAGTAACTCTTGTAAATTCAAATGCCTCCATTTCTCTGTTTTTGTGCTTGTCAAGATAATCTTCAGATAATGTGTGGATTTCGGTTACATAATTATTTGCCGAATCAGAAGGTAAAAGACACATTAGAAATCTGCACAGCTCGTGTTTCAGGGCAAACAGAGTGTAAACACCTGCTCCAGAGCCCTCGGGGTGTGCTAGTGAAAGCTGCTGTCTTCACAGGAGACTAGCTGCCAGCGCTCGCAACTTCACAGAGTAACACTCACCAGAAGTCTGAGTGTATCTCAAACAGGATCTCAGCCTTAATGGACATGTTTCCTGTGACACTTAATGAAGCGGCCAAAATACTGTGTGGCTATATATATATATATATATATATATATATATATATATATATATATGTCATGTGTCATGTGTATAAATGTGTCATGACGCGTCTCAACCAATGAGAGCATTTAGGGTGGACCTAAGACTGCAGCAGCGCTCACATGAATGCTCCCGAAATTTTTTTTAGAATCAATATTCACAAACCACTGTTCACTGTTATTTTTAACAGAAAAGAATGCAATGTACTCGTAATCACTACTTCATAAGTGGGAAATAGGAAGTTTCCGATAGCACGTGAAGACAGCAGAGAAGCGCTCTCGCTCAGCACAGTGAAGTGCATCGTTTTGTTAACTTTGTGGTTTATTATTTTGAGTCGTTTGGGACGTGGTGACACACGGCCCTCTCACAATATATTGCTTTACAGATCTATCACTCTTGCCGCTCAGAAATGTTCACGCAATCATGCTGCATGTATCAGAAGTTCCGCGCACGGGTGCGGTTTGCGCTCACACTAAATATGTACCACACCCGAGCCCAACTGAACCGTGCTCTGGCCCACCTCTTCCAACCGAGCCAGGGACGGCTAAACGAACCGCGCCCGAGCGTGGCACAAAGCGATCACACTAGTCAAACAAACCGGGCTTTGGGGGTCAAACGCGCTCGGGCTCGGTTAAGATTGCCTAGTGTGCGTACACCCTATTCTCCCTCATCCCGCACACACGAGTCTCTAGACCCGGCCGCACCCGCACTCGCCCATCAAGTGTTGTCCCGTATCGCACTCTGCTGCGTTGGGTCTCGCGATAGTGCAGGTCTCTATTCGGAAGGTGCCTGTTATAATGTTATGATCAAGGCTCTGGACTTTCCATATAAAGATTATACACATATTGTACACACTTAGAATTATACATGTTATGTTAGTTTAAGGAGCTTCTATCTATTAAAATTACTTTTATTAGTGTTTATTAGCATTTAGTATTCTTAATTCCTGTAATTATTCTTATTTTATTATAATATTAGCCAATGTTCCATGTGCCCATTCATTACATTCACACTTTAATAGGTTATATAAAATTAAATTAAAAAAATTAAATTACATTTTGAATTAATATATATATATATAATTGTGTAGCCATATATATATATATATAAATGGCTACACAACATTTTTCATTTCAATCCCAAAACATTCTGATTGTAACAGGTTTTGTACAAAACATGTTTTGAAATAAAAGTGTCAAATGTTAATTCTTAACTTTTATGTTAACTGTATTTAACTAAATTATCATATGACAACATACAGTACACTACGGTGAGCGTGATTTCACCAAGTACAACATGTTCCTGGATCAACATCCTTGTTGATCCTGGAACATCATTCCAATCAACCAATCAGAATTGAGGGATAACTTTTCAGGAAATGTCAGTTTTAGGCTTACAATCAGGATTAGGTGCTTCTACACCCTTGTTAATCAGCTATCATTTCACACTGATTTTAGGAATAAATTATGGGTAAGGTTAGGTTTAGGGGTAGGGATTGGGTTAAGTCTGTATTTTTGGACAGTAATGTTGATCCAGGAACATGTCTTACTTGGCAAAATCACGGCGACCAGTACACTACAGTACAATTCAAATGTCTGGGGTGTTTTTTTTTTGTTTTGTTTTTTTGAAGGAAGTGTCTTATGCTCACCTCGGCTGCATTTATTTGATCAAAAATACTGTAAAAACTGTAATATTGTGAAATATTATTACAATTGCAAACATCTGTTGTCTATTTAAATATAATTTAATATATAATTTATTCCTGTGATGCAAAGCTGAATTTTCAGCATCATTACTCCAGTCTTCAGTGTCACACGATCCTTCAGAAAACATTCTAATATGCTGATTTGCTTTCTTATACATTTCTTATTTTTATCAATGCTGAAAACAGTTTGAACATAAAATTCAAATGAACAGCATTCATTTTAAATAGAAATCTTTTGTATATTATAAATGTTAGTGTCACTTTTGATCGATTTTTTTTGCATCCTTGATGAATAAAAGTGTACATTTCTTCCCCCAAAACGTTTAAAGGGTATTGTACATTTTACTAGTGTTTGTGGTAGGAAAAATCTTAGACCTTTTCTGATTTGTCTCGTTTCTTAGACGATGGAGCCGGTGGACCAGCTCCTGCAGAGTGTGGATCCTGCCAAAGACAGAGAGCTCTGGGTAAAGGAACACAAGACGGGGGATCTGAGACCTGTGGACATGGACATCTAGACAAAAAACACTCACACACACACACACACACACACACACGCATTATACTATATGAATCTACCTGCATGCCTGTCTACCTGAGTACTTCAACCTCTCAGCCAAAGCCATACAGGTATCACCCCTTGAAGCACTGCTTGTTTTGTGGATTTCCACTGAAAATATTAGATAATTACAAACTCAAAGCTTTATAGAAGATTTTCTTAATGTCATGTGGAACGAGTGGAGGGAAAGGACAGCAGCACAGCAGACGCATTATGATACTGAGTAGCCATCCATATAATCCTGCATGTCCTTTTAATAAGATGCTACTTAAGACTTCTCGTTATGTCTATTATACATTAACATGATTCAAGTAGTCGAGGCACCATTGATATAGATCTGAACAAACACTGTACAGTAAAACACCTCTTTGTTTATTTGCCAAGTTTCATCCAATCAATTTTTTTTATCTTTTTGGTGTTGAAATAGTGTACGCACATTGAACTACACAGCTAGTTTGCAGATATTTACAGTTGCCTGGACTAAAGTGTGAGTCAGACGTGTAAATGGACAGCTTCAGGATGCCACATAGGTGTTCAAAAACCTCAAAAAGGATTAATCCTTTTTAAAGCATGTCATTGTTTAGTATTGTTAAATCTTTATTGTATTCTTAATTGTTTTTGTTACAAGACGGAGGATCTGAGACCTTTGGACATGGACATCTAGACAAAAAACACTCACACACACACACACACACACACGCATTATACTATATGAATCTACCTGCATGCCTGTCTACCTGAGTACTTCAACCTCTCAGCCAAAGCCATACAGGTATCATCCCTTGAAGCACTGCTTGTTTTGTGGATTTCCACTGAAAATATTAGATAATTACAAACTCAAAGCTTTATAGAAGATTTTCTTAATGTCATGTGGAACGAGTGGAGGGAAAGGACAGCAGCACAGCAGACGCATTATGATACTGAGTAGCCATCCATATAATCCTGCATGTCCTTTTAATAAGATGCTACTTAAGACTTCTCGTTATGTCTATTATACATTAACATGATTCAAGTAGTCGAGGCACCATTGATATAGATCTGAACAAACACTGTACAGTAAAACACCTCTTTGTTTATTTGCCAAGTTTCATCCAATCAATTTTTTTTATCTTTTTGGTGTTGAAATAGTGTACGCACATTGAACTACACAGCTAGTTTGCAGATATTTACAGTTGCCTGGACTAAAGTGTGAGTCAGACGTGTAAATGGACAGCTTCAGGATGCCACATAGGTGTTCAAAAACCTCAAAAAGGATTAATCCTTTTTAAAGCATGTCATTGTTTAGTATTGTTAAATCTTTATTGTATTCTTAATTGTTTTTGTTTTTTTTGGTTTTTTTTGCAACAAGGAAGTTTTTAATGCTATTTTCACAAACTCCACATAAACTGCTGGCGAATCAACAGCCTTCCTTAAGAGAGAGGGGTCAGGTTGCTTTGGTTAAGTATGGAATTGATATATTTTCATATTTGTGCAGATTTATTTTACAGAAAAGCATGTTTTGTCTAAATGTAGGACTAGTTGTGTATGGTTAATGGATGTGTAAGTTGAGTGGTGCTGGTTAGTCCATTGATTGTGTTCATGGAAGACGTGTCAACTAGCCAGGACTCGATAGCAAAGTCATATAATTTTTCCCAGTTGAAGCCAAGAAATCCCCTTATGCAGCCAGAGTTACTCTGTTGGCGTCTAAATTTCTTCTGTAGGTTGCTCTAAAGCAGTTTATAGACTGTTTCTGTATGGTGAAATTATATGGTCAATGTCAAAAGAATCCGGGTGTCAATGTAAATTCGAATGATTTGTGTTATAATGTACACCTTTTAGTGCCTAAAGGTTAATTGCCTTGGAATGTTCACAATCTGTTGTGTTAAGTGTTTGTACATAATTGTAAATATGTGCGTGGCGTTTTTTTTGTCCGTATTTGTTGTCAGGCTCATCCTACATCATGCTCATCTCTCTGTAGTCTTCGTCGTACTATGTTTTAAAGGATACGTAAACATTTGACTGATGGATGCTGACTGCACATTGTCATAGGCAGCTAATTATCACACTGTTTGAACCGCACAGCTGCAATACTGGAAGATAGATGAAACCTTGCCATTTTCAAACTTTATACAGTGATATTGAGAAATTTGATATATTTATATAGCACAGGAAGTCAAAGCACACTTTGGGAAATGAAAATATCTGTGCTTTCATTCAAATTCCTACCAGATTTGTATTTATTTTTTACTATCAGTCAGTATGGGAAGAAAAACATTAGTGGTTAGAGTTAGAAAAATATATTGCCCAATAAAAACAAGCATGGAATTATCAACTAAATCAACTAAACTCAAGCACATCAGAAATACAGTACATGATTTGGATCACAAGTGCTCAGCTGAAGACATTGTCAAATGTACATTAGCATGTCCAATAATGTGAAAGTAAATCTAAAATGTATAAGAAAAAATGCTGTACCGTGAAAGGTAATGCATTCAGGTTATTATTTACTTTATTATTTGGAAGTGACTAACAATCGCTCTCTTTTCACCTAACATGGGGTATGACTGGTTTACATTTGCTGTTTAGCATGTAACAAGTTTTACTGTACTGCATTGCCCAAGCTATTCTAGAACTACATGTTGCAGAAATTGTATTGAAACTTGATGTCAATGGTGTGCATTATGTGTATTCTGAAGAACCGTTCAGTTGAATGTCTGTGTTCCAAACTAGATCTTTTATATATATAATATTGTAAATGTTGATTTATTTGCTCTCAACTTAATAGTCTTCATTGATAATATTCATTTATCAACATGTTTAAGAAGATATGATGTTTGTTGAATTTGCCCAGGAAATGACTACATTGTCTATAATAATAATAAAAAATAACTCTAATTGTTTATCACCATTGAGGTTTCTTTTTCTTTCTTTTTTTTTGCAGCAACATTAGCATGTAGCATTTACATGTAAACGGACGGCTTCAGGATGCCATATAGATGCTCAGAGATCTCAAAAATAATTTATCCTTAGCAGAAATGACCAGCATCTAAGTTATGAGGAGGGGAAAAAGCTAAAGCATTTCATCGTTCAGTGGGTATATTGTTAAATCTGTACTGTATTCGGAAAAAAAATGTTGTTGTTTTTTTGCTCATCTGCCACATGCTTCAGTTCCGTTTTATTTTATTTTATTTTATATACCGGTATTTTATTTTATGCCACTGTCTTTGCTTGATGGGCCTTCAGTTCAGTATTTTTTATTTTATTTTATTTTTTATTTCTGAGAAAAAAATTTAATCAAAATGAAAGCATGCACTTCCCTGGAAAAGCTCTCAAACAGGGTGCTCGACCAAAAAAAAAAAAATATCTATGTGATACTATCTTTGTGATAGTCTTAAATTGTTGTATTTTTGGAGCCCAGGTGTGCCAACTTTTTTCTATTTTCAAGGTTATTTTATTTCTAAGCCAATCACTTGAGTCCCCCAAAAATTGGTCAATGAAAAAGTGTCTACCATAATAATGAAGTTTTTATATGTTGCTAAAATGTTGTATTTCTTCAGAATACAAGCCAACTCCTAAATAGCCGTTAATGGAGAAAGATGTTTTTTGCATGCAGAGTGTATGTAGCCTAACTTTTGCATCTAACCAGCCAAACCTTGAACCCCAGCTTCAAAACAATGGCATACTAAACCAAAACTCCATATTTCCATAAAAGACTTCTTTCAAGTCATTTTAATGCAACACTTACACTACTACTAATAATGATACCCTTAAGTGGCCTTTTAGCCTCTGTTTTCCACTGAGTCAAAGCAGCCATGCTGCAGAGCTCTGGCCATTGTTTTGCAGCTCTCTGTCCCACTGCTGAAACCAGGCCATGCATTAGCCTGAGCCAAAGACGGCTTTAAGAAAAGAAAGAGGTAAGCCCCTATGTTTCAGGCTTGTCCTTAGAGCTTTGGCCGTAAGCAGCGTCAACATGATAAAGATACACTTGGGGTGAGAGCCCTTTCTAGTATTCAAGTTTAGTAAGTCTAAACTTGCTTACAGACTCAAAACTCTAATCTCACTCTGAACTCAATCAGATAATTAAAGGTCCAGATAAATATAAATTTTGAGACCGTTTTTTTGTGTGATAATATTGTGTACAAAAGTAGGTCAGTAACTTTCTGAACAAAAAGTGGTGGTTATATGATATAACCAATTACTTGCACTAAAAATCAGCTCAAAGAAATATGAAGAGTTTATTTCCAAAAACAGATAACTCTGTTTTTTATTTATTTTTATGCTTTTTATTATGTTATAATGTTTCTATTGTGCTTTATTGTGTTAGTTAGCTGTATTTTTTGTTATTTTTTACCTAATCAAAATAACCCAACTGCAGTTTGATTGAGATTAATTGGAATGCACAATGAAAAAACATGATTATTGAAAATTGTTAAAAACGGAGTTATCTGTTTTTGCAAATGAGCCCTTCATATACTGTATTTATATACAGTATATTGAATTGACTGAAAAAAGAACATGAACAACATGTGTTGACATTGGTACTCATCTAAAACATCAGGTTGCTAAATTATAATACAAATACACGGACAGAAACCACAGTCAATCGTGACTGGCTTGTACATGGTTATTTTAACAGTAAACTTTGATCTGAAATGGACTGAAACCAAGTTTTTATATGGCTAATTGCAGTGGTGTATAAGCCATACTCAAGTAAAAGTACAGATATCTTACCAGAAAATGACTTTGGTAGACGTTGAAGTCACCATTTAGAATATTACTTGAGTAAAAGTCTTAAAGTATGTGATATTTATTGTACTTAAGTACGAAAAGTATTTTTTTAATCTTAAACATACTTAAGTATTGAATTTATATTAAAAAAAATTAATACATGGCTTGAGTAGCAAGATTGTGTTCAGTTTTAACTCTTTCTTCCATTTTGTATTTTTGGGTAAGAATAAGAAGCACTTCATCCAGTACTTAGTGTCTTTCATTCCAATGTAAGAAAACATTTCTGGAATCTGCAGATGAAATAGCATTTAGATGTTTTTACACAGTTTATGTATCTCAAAGGGGACATGGATGCATTTAACCAGCAGTTACAGATGGATAAATAATGTTTTGTTTTTAACATAAAACATTGGAATACTGATATTTGAAATCATTTAAAACAT